TCTAGATAACTTGCAGATATCAAGACATGTCATTTTTTAAGGAGCTCCCTGGATGAATCAGGAGAATTATACTGGATATATTTTCCAGTTCCTAATGTACAAGATCAGATAAGTAGACACGTTATTCTTAATAATTGCTGTTTTCGTTTCATCGCCGTGTGCCCGGCCAGGGCCATCTGTCACGCCTGTCTGAGCATGCGCTGTCTGTCTTGGCTCCCGTCAGCTCATCCTCTAGGGAGAGCTCGTGACTCGAGTTTTGTAGCTGGATCCTGCACATGACCTTTAGTCTTCCAGATTCCTTATCAGGCGTCTGAGTCCAAGTCAGAGGGACGTGGATGTGCAGCGTTCTTTTTCTTTTTTTCCTTTTGTATATTTTTTCTTTTCATTTAGACTTCTATTTTGGATTTTGAGTTTTCTTATGAAAACAGTTCCTCTCCCCCTGGGATGAGAGGAACTATCAAGCGTCCACTTGACCACTGTGCAAGCCCTACTTCACGCGGACCTAGTGGGGGTATTCTTGAGTCTCTTTTCTTGAGGGGTATTAATAGATAAGATACTAGTAGAATAGATTAAAAGAGTATATGTCTGGATATACATATATACATATATATATAGTGTACGTACTTGTTTCCCATTTTGTATTTATCCATTTATAATAAATACATAACAAATACAGTGAGCGCTTGTTGTCTGCCGGGCACTGTCCTGGGTATTGGGGGCGGGGAGGGGGGTTGAAAAGCAAACACAAGGTCCTGCCCTCGTGGAGTTTATGTTCCACTATGCGTGGGGGACAGTGATGAGGCAGTAAGCAGGATCAGTAAGGTGGATAGTGCGATAAATGCTAGAAAGAAGCCTGAGAAGAGGGAGTAGTGACAAGGTCTGTTGCTGTGGGGCTGCAGTCCAGATGGTGGCCCAGGGACGTTCTCCCTGAGAAGGTGACCCTCTAGTTAAGCCCCAGAGACACAGGTGTCAGGGAAGAGCATCCCAGGCAGAAGGAACCACGGGTGCAAAGACCCTGGGCTAGAAGTTGGTCTGTCATGGTCAAGGGCACTGTGGCTGGAGCAGCGTCAGTGCTGGGGTCGGGGAGGGAGCAGAGGCGCCTGGTAGAGGGCCTCGTGCCCGAAGCGGCACGCGGAGCCGGCGGAGGCTGTGAGGACGGGAGGGACGCAATCTACCTGTGAGTTCACAGTCCGGCTCCGGCTCTGTGATGAGCATGGATGTGAAGTCTCAAGGATTTGAGCAGGAAGACGATTTAAGGGGCTTGGTCAGTAATCCGTGCGAGGTGATGGGATGAGGTGTCGGGAGTGGAGTTGGCGAGGTGGTCAGATTCTGGATAGATTTGAAAGGTCAAGTTGACAGGATGGGCTGATGGATTGGACCTGGGGTGTGAGGGAAAAAAACCAGGAGTCGATGATGTTGATGCTTTTGACCGGAGCGAGAATGGAATTGCCATTATCAGGCGAAGCTGTGGAAGGAGCAGGTTGCTTTGGGAGAGAAGATCGGCACTTTAATTGCTGTTTTCTTTCATTGTGATAAAATATGTATAGAAAGTTTCCACTTTAATCATTTTTAAGTGTACGGCTCAGTGACAGTGTTTAATGTAGTGCAGCCACCACCGTCTACTTCTAAAGTGGTTTCGTCACCAAAATAAAAGTGTACTCCCGCCCCAGCCTCTGGTAACCTCCAACCTTCTTCCTGCCTTCGAATTGCCCTGTTCTAGGTATTCCACAGAAGTACAGTCATACAATATCGATCCTTTTTTGGCTGGCCGTTTTCACGCAGCACGATTCAAAGAGTCATCCGTGTTGTCGTATGTATCAGAGCGTTGTTACTTTCTGTGGCTGAATAATATTCCACTGCTTGTGCATACCGGATTTATTTTATCACCTAGGTGGTTTTCACCTGTCCACAGTGAATGATGCTGCTGTGAAAATTCTCACAGGTGTTTGGGTCCCTGTTTTCAATGTGTTGTTTTTGTTATATACGTGGGAGTAAATTTGCTGGTTATGTGGTGATTCTGTGTTTAACTTCCGGATGCGACACCAGACCGTTTTCCACGGTAGCTGCATCTGGCTTCGACACCCTCTCCAGTGCTTGCTATTTTGACACGTTTTTCATTACAGCCACCCTAGGAGAGGCGAAGTAGTGCCTCGCTCAGGTTTTGGTTTCGATTTCCCTAGCGACTAATAATGTAGCACAGCTTTCATATGTTCATTATCCATTTGCTTTTCTTCGGAACCATGTCTATTTGCCCATTTTTCCTTGTTTTACTGTTTTCGTTTTTGAGTTGTAGGAGTTCTTTATATATTAAACCCTCATCAGATAGATTTTTGGCAAATCTTTTCTCCCATCCCGTAGGCTATCTTTTTACTCTCTTGATAGCATTCTTTGATACAAATGTTTTTAATTTTGATAAAGTCCAGTTTGTTTGTTTATTTTGCCTGCGCTTTTTGGGGCCATGTTTAAGGAACCATTGCCAAACCCAGTGCCCTAAAGATTTTTTCCCCTACATTTTCTTCTAAGAGTTTTATAGCTTTAGCTCTTAAATTTGGGTCTTTGGTCCATTTTGAGTTAATTTTGCAGGTCCAAGGCCATTCTGCTGTACGTGGACATCCAGCTCTCCCAGCTCCATTTGTTGGAGAGACTGTTCACCTGTGGTGGTGCTGGCACCTTGTCTGACGACCGCAGATGTGAGCATTTGTTCCTGGGCTTTAGGTTCTACATCAGCGTTCATGTTTATGCCAGGGCCATACAGTTTTGATTACTATAGCTTTGTAGAAAGTTTCAAAATTGAAAAGTGTGAGACCTCCAACTTTGCGGTTCTTTTGTAAGACTGTTTTGGCTGGTTGGGTTCCCTGGGAATTCCATATGAATTTTAGGATGGATTTTTTCATTTCCACGAATGTTCTTGACAGAGATTGCATTAAATCTGCTTTAGATAGTATTTACATCTTAGCAATATTAAGTCTAATGAGTGGACACAGAATGTCTTTTTGTTTATTTGGGTCTGTGTTCCATTAGCACTTTTTAATTTTACAACAGTGTACAAGTCTTATCCCCTTTATTAACTTTATTCCTAAGTATTGTATTCTTTTCGATGCCATTATAAGTGAAATCGTTTCTTGATTTTTATCTTCTGATTGTTCATTGCTAACATATAGAAACATAGCTGATTCCGCATGTCGCTTTTTGTGTTCCGTGACTTTGCTGGAGCCGTTTATCCCGCCAGCTGTCCCGGGTCGTCCAGGGCTTCCAGCACGTGTGGTTGTCCCGTTCAGGAGTGGGGACCGCGGTGCCTGCCCCTTTCCAGTCTGGAGGCTTTTCATTCCTCTTTTTTGCCAAACTGCCCGACAAGAACATGTCAAATTTGGGACCCTTGTTAGACGTCCAGCGGAGGAATCAAGCAGCAGTAGAATATTTGAGTTTGGATGTCAGGAGCCAGGTCCAAGCTAGCTATATGAAATGGGGATTGTCGCCTGTGGCCGGTGTATAAGCCAGGACGAGGCTGCGCGAGAACTCCAGAGGGAGTGAGTCTAGGTTTAAGGGCGGAGCCATAGGGGTGGAGCTAAGTGCTGTAGAGGTCAAGTAGAAGTCAAGGACGTTGCCCTTCCAGTTTCCCTTCATCCGTGGTCCCAGAGTTCAGGTACTTCCCACAGAGGGAACCCTGCTGCTTGTGGACGGTTCCATGGGAGAAAGTGAATACCATGGGGTGCCCCTGCTCGGATTTCATTTGGAGCTGGTCCCATCGCTGGGCCTGCCTAGTGACCATTCGAGCATGCCGCTGAAGATCAGGGTTAGGGGTCAGCCAGAGTCCTTCTCGATGATTAGAGGTTCCCACGGAAAGGCCTTGACCCCAGACTCGACGCAGTGGGCTGTGCTGCAGCTGTCTCTCTGGGTGCCTGCAGCAGATAAGAGCTGACAGCAGACTCCTCTGGAGGGGTGACTACAAGGCGCGTGGTCATCGTGTGTTACCCATCTGCCACTTCTCTGAGTTCTTCCTTAGATTGACTGACTCATTCTCTCTCATTCTCCTCTCTCTGCCGCCCCCAGAAATGCCCACGTAGCGCCCAGACCCCTTCAGTTCCACAGGTGTGTCCACCTGGGGTCCTCTGAGTGCCTCTCCTTCCTCCTCCCCATTTATCCACATGGACCATTCAAGACACGCATAAGTGTGCAGTGGTCAGTTCATGGTTATACTGCGCAGTCGGTTGCATTTGAAGTTTATCATATGAGTCACAAAAATGTATGAGTCATGTGAGTCCATTTTTGTTTTATTTGTTTTTTTTTTAATTATGTATAGACACTCCTAGAGAAAGAAAATTTGGCGTGATATATACCAAATTAGTAAACAATAGTCATTTCTGGCTGGTGGAATCATAGGGGAATGTATTTGCTTCATGATATATTTCCAAAGCCTTTATTTATTTTTTTGCTGTAAGCGTGCTCTTGTTATGTAAATAAAAAATATTTAAAAACTTGTATTTTAAAAAAAACTATGATTCCGAATAATAGCAGATGCCAACGTGTACATAAGCAGCCCCATGATCCAGCTGCTCTGTGTGACCGCTCCACACAGCAGGCAGGTCCTGTAGGTCCGTCCGGAGCGAGGACACCACGCCCGGCAGCCTCGGGGACATCTGCCTGAGCCCGTGAAAACACGTTCCCCTGCCCTGTCCTTCCTCGGGAGGCCATCAGCAGGGTAGCGCCCCAGGGCCAGCAGCTAACTGGGCGAACGGGCTTCTGGAGGGACATCTCTCCTCTCTACTACCCCGTGTCCTGGATTAGTCTAGGTGGGTTTTGGGATATTATCTGAGTTTCTATCTCTTGGGCTGGTGTTTTCCAGGAATACGAAGTATTTTTTCTTTGATATATGCTTAAATGTTTATTTTTAAGTGTTATAACTTTTCAAAAAACGTAATAAAGTTTATTTCTGTGGGGAAAAAATGTTTTTTAAAAATATTTTTGACTGTTTTTTGTTCCTTCTCTTTTGAAATCTCTAGCCAACGAGGACATTAGTCATGACAAGCATGCCATCTGAGTAAGTATTCATGGTTTTGATAGCTCTGATGAAAGTTTTGCCTGTCTTCCCTGTCATAATGCTGTGCTTTTAGGCCATTCATAGATCTGCACCGCAGCCCAGTTCTCTACATGATAAGACTCTGACTTAGAAGTAAAAAAGGTGGTTAAAAGGCCGTGACCACTTTGCCACAGAGACTTTTCGAGTAGCTCAGCAGCATCGAGAGGTTTTGCTTGTCCTCTTGCCTTGGGGACCCAGGGTCCCCGTGCGCCTAGGGCCCCCACACCGTGAATGGTCCACAGAGGGCGTGTCACCGCCTGCCACATTTCCCCTGCTGGGCTCAGAAGCAGCGCTGGGCTGGGAGCTTCCCGCGGCCGCGTGGCAGCGGCCAGCCGTCTGACACGGGGACGCGCCCCCAGCTCGCCCCATCCAACACGGGGACGCGCCCACAGCTTACCCCATCCAACACGGGGACGCACCCCCAGCTCGCCCCATCCAACACGGGGACGCACCCCCAGCTCACCGGCCTTAGACCTTTCACACGGGAAAGCACGTCCAGCCAAAATACAGCGCCATATTCTTTGTCACAGAGTTTTGAATTCCTATTTAGAGGAGAAAATGTGTTTCTTTGTATCACTCAAAAGTTTTAAGATATTCATCAAAACATTGGGACGTTTCACCGAAAAATGTCTTTGTCGTAAACAAGTGGATTTGAAATTATGAAACCAATACATGACATGTTCCAATGCCATATTGATTAGCCGTGTCTTGAAAAGACACTCGTTATTTATTAGCATGTTCCACCAACAACTGGCAGCTGTCACACTTGGAACGAGGAAGGTCACAGGTAGCTGGAAATGAAGGCTTCTGGCGGGCGTCTGCCTTAGAGGTTTTCACTTCTTTTCGCCCTTGTTTTCTTCGCTTCCCCTCGCCCCCAAATTTAATTATTTTCCACAACCCCAGCGAGCACAGTTGCTCTGGTGAAGTGCGGACGGGACCTGGTCTCGAGGCATTTATCTCCTCTCCCCTGGGGATCGCCAAGAATTCAAAGCCGTGACATAGTTCACCTCTTGCATTGTACAGATAAAGACACAGGTTTTGCGACTGACACACTTGGGGTCACGGGAGATAAATCTAAGAAAGGCCGTCATGTGGAAGGGGGCGCTCAGAGGCAGTCTGCGCCAGCGCGGGGAAGCAGAGCCACTTTCCCTCCGTAACGTAGCTTTGGGGGGGGGAGGGACTCATTCCTTCGCTTCCTGCGTCTGTCAGTGTGGCCTAGCTGCCACATCCCTGTATTTCACTGGGGGTTTCCCAGTTTGCGGGGAGAGAGGGGGAGAAGCGATGCCTCAGAACGGAAGGTGTTGGGCAGACGACCACGGAAGGAAGCGGGGAGAACGGGGGGTGCTTGGTAAGGACGGTGGGTGAGGAGAACGTGTCTCTGTGCGTGCACACAGACACTTTAAAGACACCTGCGGCCGTAACGAAATGACAGGCCAGAAGGTAGACAGCGACGAGCTCTGCGAGAGTGAGCCTTCGTCGGATCTGCCCTAAGAGCTGACCTGACGAGTCAGTGGGAAGGCAGCGTGCCGGACACTCAGCGGACGTGGTATTTGAGGGGCCTGGTCCTGACCGAGCACGAGGTGGTTCTGAGGTCTGCGAAGCAGGTGGCGCTGCCTAGGAAGAGCCGCGGTGGCGTCACGTCTGGCATCGGGCCTGGTGTCCGGTGCTGGTGCCGTCCCCTGCCCCTGAGGGGGACGCGTCAAGGCCATTTACAGCCATCAAATTAGATGGTTGGAGTTGAGATCTGGGGTTTTTCCTAATTTCCTTACATTTCATCTTATAGATTGTAAAGAAATTAAGACGTGAACGCCACAGCCGAACCGGTGGGAAGTTTGAGCTTTCTAGTTGTTTTGGTTTTTAATGTAATCATCTTGATGTTCATATACGGCGAATGTTGATTTTGCTTTTTCCCCCATTTGCTAGAAAGCAGATCATCGTCGTCCAGGTCGTGGACAAACTGAAAGGCTTCTCCTTCGCCCCCGAAGTGTGCGACACCACCACACACGTGCTGGCCGGAGGCCCGCGGCGCACGCTGAACGTGCTGCTGGGCCTGGCGCGCGGCTGCTGGGTCCTGGCCTTCGAGTGGGTGAGCCCTGCGTCCGCGGGCCGGGTCCGAGGGGGTCTGAGGGCGTCTGGCAGGGTGGGGGGTTGGGGCGCAGGTCCCACCGTCCAGGGCGGGCGCCGCCCTCTTGCGGGGGCTTCGCCTTCGCTCGTCACCTTCAGGCGCTGCTGGCCCCGCGAGACACAGGACCCGGGACCCGGGACCTGGAGCGCGGTGAGGGCCACCAGCAGGAGGGCGAAGACCCCTCCACCGGCGCGGCGCGGACTGGGAAGGAGGATGCAAGACGCGCGTCCTCACGGTCAGACCACTCTCTCCTGTGTTCCGCCGAGAAACAACGCGACCTGCGTCAGTGATGGGTCAAAAGCCAGAAGGACTCTGGTTGTTTTTCCAGATGGATTTGCTTAGGATGAAACATGTTCACTTAACCCCATTTGGATATGTTTTATCTTACGCATGTCTTTCTATGCATGACGTTACGTGCCCTTATTTCTGTGCACTAGAGGTAGTTTATTTTTGATAATCATTGTTTTCACGAAATCGAGATTGTTTGTTACTCTTTCTATTTGTACTCTGCCCCTGAACCTCGCTGGCTCCGCTGCGGTGCACTGTTACTCGTGCGACTATTTTGCATCTGCTGACTGTCTCCCCTCCTCCCTCTCCCCCCAAGGAGGAATTAGATTAACACTGTGTTAATTTAAACCAGTAGAAACATAATATGCAAACAAACTGCACATGTAATTTTAGGGATGGCCGCGGGCTTTTTCTCGTGTCACGGTTTAACCCTGCAGCCCTCTGGTACAAGAGGTGCAAGGCATTAGTGCTTAAAGTCACGAAGTGGAAAAGGCGGAAGTTCCCCCAAAAGTTCTCTTCGCACTGGTGGCAATTGGGGATTACCTTCCCTAACTACATAGTAGTGCCGATCCTCATTTACTTGCATGAAATAGCATTTATAACTCCAGCTTCGCTGAACGAATACCCTGTTGTCTGTCTCTCTCATTCACAACGTATGTTCATCAGTCAGCTCTTCCTTTCCTCATGTTCCAGAGGAGGGAAAAAGTTCTTTTTTATGGAGACTTGTATTTGTGCTCGGCTCTGTCCCCACCCTGTTGTTCTGGGACTTCTTGAGCCGGCCTGAGGGGTCAGACGTGGGAGCCAGCGTTTCCTGCTGCTTCTGATGCCTCCGCGTCTCTGCTCAGTCTGCTGCCAGCGTCGCCCACTGATCATAAGCAGAAACAGAGCCTGATGCAGATTCAGCTTGCGGTGCCCTTTGAGGGATTCACCAGTCTATTAACCAGTGAGAGAGGTGGGGAGGAAAGCGCGCTGTTCAATGAATGTCCAGTGCTCAGAGTCCCCGCCGCGATCTTCCTGCCTGGAGGAGAGAACCTGGGTCACTCAGTCACATACGTGAGTGGGTGAAGTATAAATGCAATAAGGCAGGAAGAGGAAATAAAAGACATTTACGTCAGGAAGAAATGAAACTCTCTCTATCTGTAGACAACATGGTAGTGTATGAGACGATTTCAAGAAATCTCCAAAAAGGTCTTAGAACTAATAACCAAGTTCAGCAAAATGTCAGGATACAGTACATTGACACATTTAAGTATAAAACTAACGTAAGATGCTCAGGATGTGTTTGCTGAAAACTGTAAAGCACTTATTTTAAAAAAATCAAATAAATGGAGAGATACATTTGTTCATGGATTGGAAGACTCCATGTAGTTAAAATGCCAATCCTTGCCAAACGATCTATAGATTTAGCGCATTCCCAATCAAAGTCTCAGGAGAATCATTCCGAGGCATAGATGAGCTGATTCTGTTTTCATATCTGTGCTGCCGAAGCGAGCACGTGGATGATCGCCACCGTGAACACGCCCGATCCCGTCTGATCTCGGAAGCTGAGCAGGGTCGGGCCTGGTCAGTACTTGGATGGGAGACCACCTAGGAAGACCAGGTGCTGTAGACGTTACAAAAAAGATTGTAAGCCGTCAAGGTTCTTGCAGTCTGTGGGGTCAACCAAGGGTTGCCTCGCCTAAAATAGATAGATAGATAGATAGATAGATAGATAAACAGTTTTGAAGGAGAGGGACAAAATCGGAGCGCGAACACTACCTGGCTCGCAGGCACCTTTGTCACGTCACGTCAGTGTGGTGTGGCGAAGGACGGAGGTAACAGAACGGGGGTCCAGAAACAGCCACACGAGCAGAGCCCGCTGGTCTTCGCGAAGGTGCAGAGGAATTCAGTGGGGAAAGGTCAGTCTTTTCAATGAATGGTACCAGAGAAATTGGACATCTGTATGCAAAAAAACAAAAAAACCCCAGACCCATTCCTCATGCAGTATCCAAAAATTCCACATGGATCCTTGACTAAAGCGGAAAATGATTAAACTCTTAGAAGTACGAGAAAAATCTTCATGACCTTGGTTTAGGCAAAGAGTTCTTAGGGACCACACCAAAACCATGATGTCTAAAAGAAAAAATTAATAACTTAGATTTCATCAAAATAAAAATTTTTTACTCTGTGAAGAATGTTAGAGACCAGGAGAAAATATTTACAAATCTCACATGACAAAGGACTTACACCCAGAATAAATAAAGAACTCTCAAGATTCAAAAATAAGCAAGCAAACCCAAGCAACAATCACCCAAAAAGCATTTTTGAATTCTTTTTCTATGATATATAGATGGCAAACAGGCACTTAAAAGACACTTAGCATCATCAGAGAAGTACAATTTAAAAGCACAGTGAGTGAGATACCCCACAGACCTAATAAGTGGCTAAATTATGAAATGGATTTCGGACTCCGAGCCCTCTGGGAAGGCGCCCAGTGCCGGGACACGCCTGCGCTGCTGGGGGGGCCGGGCAACGGCACGGCCGCTGGGCAGAGCAGTTCGGAGGTGTCACGTGAAGTCAGACGCGCACTTAGCTGCTCACGCAGCAGCCCCACTCCTGGGCATTTGCCGTGGAGAAATGAAGGCTTATTTATGCTCACCCAGAAACCTGGACACGAGTGCTGGCAGCAGCTTTGCTAACAGCCACCCGCACCTGGGGACAACACGTCCCTCGGTGGATGATTGGACAAACAGCTGGTTCACGCACGTGGTGGCGTACTCAATGGGAAGCCACAACGGCACATGCCACAGCAAGGGTCACTGTTGGTCCCTTGCCAAATAGTCACCCAACCTGGTCGAGGTGACATCACCTTGGATAATTTCTTTTCTAAAGGGTCCAGAGTGCTGTACTGGCTTCTTGTGGCTGGTGTAACAGAGTACTATAAGTTTAGTGGCTTGAAAACGACACAGATTTATTCTGTGGTTCCAGAAGTCAGAAGTCCGAGATGGTTTTTCCTGGGCTCAAGTCCGGGTGTTCCTTCTGGCAGCTCCAGGGGAGCGTCCGTTCCCAGCTGAGAGGCCCCTGCATTCCTGGGCTTGGGGCCCCCTTTCCCGCAGTCACCTCACTCTGACCTCTGCCTCTGCCGTCACATCTCAGACTTTCTGCCTGCATTTTTCACTTAGTAGGAGCCTCGTGGCCTCACTGGTCTCACCTGGGGAATCCAAGATGTCTCCCCATCTCGAGGTCCCTTTCGCCACGGAGGGTGACATAGTCACAGATTCTGGCTGTGGACAGCTTTGGGGTGGGGGGGGCCGTGATTCCACCCCTCTCCAAATACAGATGCGTTGATTCCGTAAGCCCCGCCCGTAGAACACAGCTCTGTGAGTCCCGGGCCGATGCCTTTTAATCAGCTTGAATCTTTGAGGAAAGCTTTCTAAAGCTTCGAATGGCACTGAGGGAAGCCGGCGCGTGAAGAGGCGGTGCTGGGAGGGACGCGTCTACAGCCAGGGAGCAGGAGGGCTCTGCAGCCGCCAGACGCTGGGACAGACGCGCCTCACAGCCGCCAGGACGACCCGCACCCCACTGAGGACTTCTGGGCTTCACAATGGGCTTTGCTGGTCGCAAACAGGAAGGGAGGCAGTCGATAAACAGAGGGCGTGGAGAAAAAATGACAGGAGAAATGCTCATAAAGAGCATAAAATAGGTTGCCGTGGGTCTCCAGCCCTCCGAAGCTGTCGGTGTCCATTCGTGATGAGTGGCAGGGAGCTAGCGTGACCCCCGGGGCGGGGAGGCCGCATGGAGTGGAGCACGGTGCCGAGGCCCGAAGCCTACCCAGGTTCAAGGCTGGCGTGACGGCGCAGGAGGCATTCGGTGGCACGTTTCATGTACCAGTATAGGGATTCCGTGTGATTCGGTTTTCCTTCAAGGCTCGAAGCCCCTTTTGAAAAACTTTTCAGTTACAGTTGACATTCAGCATTGTGCTAGTCTCGGGTGTGCAGCAGAGTGGCAGGACGTGTGTGTAACTTGCTCAGTCTGGTGTCATGGTGTCGCTGTTTCCTTCCGCTGTGCTCCCCGTCCCTGCACCGTTTCGTAGCTACTGGTTTGTCCTTCCTCACCCCTTCATCTGTCCCACCCAGCCCTTCAGCCCCCGTCTGGCGACCATCAGTTTGTTCTCTGTATCTATGAGTCCATTTCTCTTTCGTTTGTTCATTTATTTTGTCCTCAGCTTCCACATATAAGTGAGATTATGGGGTATTTATTTGTCTCTCTCTGACTTATTTCACTTAGTGTAACATCCTTAAGATACCAACCAGTAAGTATAGTGATTGCAATAGTCGTAAAGCAGCTGCCTCAGAATTTAATATTTTTCTCTTACTAAGCCACTAATGAAGCCACAGTTCTTCTGTAAGACGTGACCTCTGACAGCTTTATGTGTGTTATTTTTCCGTATCCCATATCTTCAATACCTTCTGGTAGGAAGGCAGAAATCAGCAAAGAGCTATTCGGAGATTAAGAACGGAATGAAATGGTAGTTACTATTTAAATGATTACACTGGAAACACATCCATGCACATGTGTGAACGCACACATGTGTGCTCTGTTTACAGGTCCCGTGTATTTCCGTTACTTGTCGCTCTTTACAATGCCCAAATCGGCAGGTGCGTTTACATCAGGATGATTTTGAAATGGAAGAC